GCTAGTGATTTTTTATAAACATAAATTAGATCATGTCATGCTCCTTTAACCTTTTAATGGCTACTCATTAGTTACAATTAAACTCTACTTCTTTACCATGCCCATGCTCGGCATGACCTGGCCCCTGCCACTGTCCCATCCCATTCCACACCAGCCACATAAACCTTCTTTCAATTCCTGATGCAGGTCAAACTCTTTCCTGCCCCAGCACCTTCACATATGCTATTCCCTCTTCCTGGAAAGACTGTACCCCCTCCAACCCCCCGTCATCACCTGAGTGTTCCTAGTCAATCCTCAAGCCTCAGCTTAAATGTCACCTGCTTAACCTAAATAAGCTCCCTTCTTTCTTAGCTCCTGTTTTTTCTTTCATATTCCAATCATAATGTGTAATAATACCCCAGTACATATTATGCTGTAATGAGTAATCATATTTCTATTCATGGATGATTTATTCCCCTCTAGGCCACACATAACTTCTATGAGGGCAAGAGTCATGTCTTTGATGTTTCCCTGAGCATTTAGCAGGAGCTGTCATATAACAGATGCTTACTAAGTATTTTCTGAATGAATGACTCAGTGAATGAATGACAGAGTTTGCTGATTTAGCTGGAGTCTCAGTAGAATGCCTACTCTACTCTTCCCAGGATTTAGGCTTGTTAGGAGGAATAAGGGGACCCCAGATGTGTATCTGGATGAGATACATGGGCTTGGTTTATGATCCACGGGGCAGCATTAGAGTAGGGGGACGGACCGCGTGCTGAACACAGAGCCGCATCCATCCATAACTCCTAACCCACCTCTCAAGAAACTCGAGTCATGAACTTGAGGAATTGGGTTGGCCATAAAGTGCTACTTTTCTGTGATCTTTATAGAATATTAAGAGTTTGGAGGACAGCAGCTTTCAGGAGTGATGGGGGCAAAAAAAGCAAATTTTTGCCACCCTTGATGGAGGCATTTACAGCCTCAGGAGCATGTGGAGCTGCAGGGAGAACTGGAGTAGGGTGGAGAAAAACGGTGAATCCCAGAGGAACCCCAAGTAGATCAGATCAGGCACACACACAAGACAGCTCTCAGATATAGTTGGGGGAACTCTAGGGGAGGCAACTGGGAACAGAGCTGCAAGGAATTGCTACTGGGACTCTAGTTTTATTCCTCCAGTGGGTANGTCTTAAAAGCACATGTTAGAAAATAAGAAACTGTGTTCAAGAGGTTGCAAAAAAGGCAAAGATGTTAGAAGAAAGAATATAATAACACAAAAGTAGTAGATGGAAGAAAATATTAATGATAAAAGAGAAACAAACAATAGAGGTGCTCACCAACACCAAAAGCTAGTTTTTTAAAGACTAGTAAAATATAATTTAAAAAAAATATTTAAATGATAAAATATACAAACCACAGGCAAGATTGATCAAGAAAGGGAAGAAGGAATGAAGAGAGGCATAACCTACAGATACAACAAAAGTTTATAAAATTGTAATACTATAACAGAATATTTGTGCCAAAACTTTTAAAATTGTATCAATTTTTGTAAACTGGTCTATGTTTTAGAAAAAGATAAATCACCAAAATTAAATCAAGACGAAAAATGAAACCAGAATAAATCAATAACCACTAAAGAAACTGAAGCTGTAGTTCAAAAAGTTGCACCTACCCCCAAAAGGCATCAGGCTGAGACAGTTTTATAGGCAACTTTACCAAACCCTTAAGGAACAGATAATTCCTACTTTACAGAAATTGTTCCAAAGAACAGAACACAGAGAGTGCTATCAAACTCATTTTAGGAGTCTAGCATAACCTTAATACCTGAACTAACAACAATAAAAACAAAATAGTAGGTCAGTATCACCCATGAACATAAATATAAAAATCTTAAGTCACAACTATTCAAAAAACCATCAAGGTGTATAAAAATAATGCATCAAGTCTGTGACCAAAACTGCTAGAGTTCAATATATCCATTCTTCTCTTTGTCTATTCCACAGCCTCCCTTGCAGCTAGATATCACCACGTGATGTGGCTTCAGCCAATTTGATACAGGTGAAAGTGTGTATGTGTAACTGTCAGGAAATCTTTTTTAAAAGAAAGAGCTGCATCCCTCCTTCTCTCTTTTCCCTTCTACTGCTCAGAATGCAGACAAGAGGGCTAGAGCTTGACCTTCAGCTCCTCGGATATGAGATGTTACACAAAGGGTGGAAATGCAGTAAGACAGAAGGAGCCTCGGGCCTGACACTTCACTTCTATATCCAGGCTTTTTTTGTTTTGTTTTAAATGAGAGGGAAAAACATTAAGACACCACTGAGGCCCCATTACTCACAGCCAAACTTAATTCCAACTGATAATCGTATCAAGCAGGGTTTATCAAAGGAATGAAAGAGTGAGTCAACACGGAAAAATCCATTAATATAATTCACCAAATTACAAATGAAAAGAGAAAAATCTATGGTCATCTAAGTAGACTCTGAAAAAAGCATTCAGTAAAATTCCACTCTCATTTTCTATCTTTAGAAAATAAAAATGAAAACTCTTAGCCAACTAGGAATAGAAGGGAGTTTCCTCAACCTGATAAATAGTATTCATCAAAATCTGTAGCAAACATCATCATACTTATGAGCGGAAATTGAGAAGATATCCATCCACTAACATCAGGATTGGGACAAGTGTGGTACACTCAACAGTGAACTAGAAGTCCCATTCAAAGGAATATTACCAAAAAAGAAAAAAGAAAAAAAAGAAATTAAAAGAAACAGATTTAAACAAATGTTCTCATTTGCAGGAAAAAAATAACTGACTATATAGAAAACCCATTATGATTTTCAAATAAACTATGAGTCCTAATAAAAGAGAGTAGCAAAGTTGCTAAATATAAAATCAATATATAAAACTTAAGAGTGTCCCCATAACACCAGCAGTGCCCAATTATAAAATACAATAGAAAAAAAAGATCCACAACACAAGATCTTCCATAATGCAAAAGTCCATCACCTTTCCTCCCCATATCCACTATTACTTGTCTCAGAATCATTCTCCACCCAGCAGCTAGTGATTTTTTATAAACATAAATTAGATCATGTCATGCTCCTTTAACCTTTTAATGGCTACTCATTAGTTACAATTAAACTCTACTTCTTTACCATGCCCATGCTCGGCATGACCTGGCCCCTGCCACTGTCCCATCCCATTCCACACCAGCCACATAAACCTTCTTTCAATTCCTGATGCAGGTCAAACTCTTTCCTGCCCCAGCACCTTCACATATGCTATTCCCTCTTCCTGGAAAGACTGTACCCCCTCCAACCCCCCGTCATCACCTGAGTGTTCCTAGTCAATCCTCAAGCCTCAGCTTAAATGTCACCTGCTTAACCTAAATAAGCTCCCTTCTTTCTTAGCTCCTGTTTTTTCTTTCATATTCCAATCATAATGTGTAATAATACCCCAGTACATATTATGCTGTAATGAGTAATCATATTTCTATTCATGGATGATTTATTCCCCTCTAGGCCACACATAACTTCTATGAGGGCAAGAGTCATGTCTTTGATGTTTCCCTGAGCATTTAGCAGGAGCTGTCATATAACAGATGCTTACTAAGTATTTTCTGAATGAATGACTCAGTGAATGAATGACAGAGTTTGCTGATTTAGCTGGAGTCTCAGTAGAATGCCTACTCTACTCTTCCCAGGATTTAGGCTTGTTAGGAGGAATAAGGGGACCCCAGATGTGTATCTGGATGAGATACATGGGCTTGGTTTATGATCCACGGGGCAGCATTAGAGTAGGGGGACGGACCGCGTGCTGAACACAGAGCCGCATCCATCCATAACTCCTAACCCACCTCTCAAGAAACTCGAGTCATGAACTTGAGGAATTGGGTTGGCCATAAAGTGCTACTTTTCTGTGATCTTTATAGAATATTAAGAGTTTGGAGGACAGCAGCTTTCAGGAGTGATGGGGGCAAAAAAAGCAAATTTTTGCCACCCTTGATGGAGGCATTTACAGCCTCAGGAGCATGTGGAGCTGCAGGGAGAACTGGAGTAGGGTGGAGAAAAACGGTGAATCCCAGAGGAACCCCAAGTAGATCAGATCAGGCACACACACAAGACAGCTCTCAGATATAGTTGGGGGAACTCTAGGGGAGGCAACTGGGAACAGAGCTGCAAGGAATTGCTACTGGGACTCTAGTTTTATTCCTCCAGTGGGTATGGCCTAACCAACACAGGTTACCATGCAAATCTCACAGCCAGCCCCACACAGGTTCCAAGACACCATACTTAGGGCCACTGGCCTGGTGGCATTGCAGCCCAAAGGGCAGATGGGCCACATGGGCACTGCCACATGGTCATCAGAGAAAGCATCTTCCCACAGGAACTCAACAACAGAGGGACTTCTCCCAGTACTCCCTCCAGAGCTCACAATGCTAATTCTTCCATTAGAAATTAAGGAAGCAATATTTCTGAGGCCACCTAATGCCAGAATGCTGGCTCCTGGTAATTCTACCATCTCTGGTACACAACTGACTCAGGCATACAATAGGTACCCCCAATTGGTTAAATGCTGTGTGAGCCAAGTGAGGAGGAGTACTATATGTGCCAGGGGCCCCTGAGAGGCCATCCTCTTATTTATTTGTTTTCCTTTGAGCTCACATACTTGTACACCACAGGAAGGAACAAGGGATGGGCAAAATCCTCTTATCCCCTGTAAAGGACAATTGTTGGAGACCTGCTCAGCACCTACCTGTTACCTCTCCCTCCCCTCAACCTCTGTATAGCCCCTGTCCACCTCAGGCCACCTGGGACAGGCACGGGGACAAGGAGCTCACTTTAGATTTGATGAGGGCCCGTTTCTGTGGATAGCCTCACTGGCTGCTCTCACTCCTCCCCGATAAAAGCGCTTGGTCTAAGCCAGGCAGGGAAGGTGCCCGGGGAGACCAGGCCAGGGACGTCCATGTGCAGTCCCCTCTCCTCTCCTCCCCCAGGGAAGGTGAGAGGCCCGCTCGGCCCTACCTCTTGTCTTCTTCCACCTGCACGCCTATGGAGTGGAACTCTCTGCGACTTCTGTTCTCCGTGTCCGAGTCTGAGATCGTCTCCACCTGGCGGCAGGGTTGGGGAGTCAGCGGCGGGGCTAGACCCAGGGCGCAAGCCCTTCCCCAGCGAGAAAGACCGGCAGTGTCTGAGCCCCAAGCCAGCCGGCAGGTCCTGCAAGGACAACTTGCCAGGGCAAGATGAGAGGCTCAGGAAGTCAGGGGCATTAAGGTGGCAAGTTCTGGGGACCACTCTCCACTCGCCGGGGGGGTGATGGTGCCAGAAAGCGGGACAAGGGAGCGGGCTGGGAATAGCTGGAGCAGGCCAGTCCACGGCCAGGCACAGGGGCCACCTGCGGATCGGAGGAAGCCAAGGCCTACGCGTCCAGGCGCCCCGAGGCCCCACTCCGCCGCTCCCCAGGGGCGCCCTTCCTCACCT